AGTTGACAATTTTTCGTTCAGTTGGATTTTCTTATCATCCACAGTGTCCGTCATACTGATTCAATTCACTACTGTTTGAGTAGTTTATGTATATTTCTTTCAATCCTTTGTAAGTAGTACAATTTGTCATTTGGATGCTATATTTATATGATTACTTTGTGGGACTTTGTAGTCCAAGATCAGTGCGATTGAGACTTGTAGAATCTTGTCAGTACTTAGTACATACTGTCAAATTTATAAAGCAGTCAATGTTGTACATATAGCAGTACAGTACTATAAAAATTGATTCCGTGCCAAGTTGCGCTACATACTACCGAACGGCGCGTGTTTTTGTTTTATGCTGTGGTGACAACAGTTGTGGCCTGTGGGACTCAGGGAGTTGTGACTTCTTGTGAGTGTGGTCAAGAAGCAACTCTCTCTTTTGCCGAGCCTCGCTGAGCGATGTGATACCAAAGATATGTTTTGCTCCTAAACAAGAGGCACTTTTGAAAGTTTTATTGATGCAAATTTCATCAACAGTTATATTATCGTACACCTATGCTGTTCTTCCACCAATGAGTAAAATATTTAGCAAGTTATTAGTTACCCTTATATTGCCATTGGTGACCCCTGGTATTTAATACAACTGGGTGTCAGGTGGGATATTCAGCAGATTTCAGAAGCGTAGCACATTCTATTTTTTATTGGTGAATAACTGGAAACCCGTTACAAGGTGTCTTTCAGAGAAATGATGAGTCACTTCTCTCAGAATTCTCTGAAATGTATGGGAACAAATTGCACCCAAAATTGCCGGCAGACCCAAATTTTCAAAAGTACACATTACGAGTCATCATGCACGTTCGTGAAAACTAAATAAAAAGCCTGCATTTCACTCTGGTCCGAAAGGAACTTCTGCAGAATATCTGAAAAATGAAATCTGAAGTCTTATTACTTAACTCGAAAGAGTAAATATTCCACTCCGAACTCTTAACTCTCACAAGTCTCGACACAAGTCTTCTATTTGATGAATCTTTTTAAAAAATGAAGGCATATGTGATTATTACTATTACTTTAAAAACACTATACATATATTACTTTTCTACTCAAGTGGGGTCCCAGGGGTGACTTTTAATACTTGTTTTGAGTAAAACACTAAAAGTAAAAAGTTGCAAACTGATAACGTTCAAGTCTTCAAATTCTGGCTTGTGCTTTGGTAGTTGGGAGTTGTGAGTCGGGAGGTGAGTGTTGGGATTTGGGAGTTGGGAGTCGGGAGTTGTAACTACTGACTACTCACCAGTCACCACTCACCACCTTGGGGCTTGGGCCCTTGGCTGCTTAGCACCTTCTCTTGTTGTGTGTTGGGACTTGGGATATTAGGACCCTTGCTTGTTGGGGGCCAGTTGGGGACTTGGGGTTTGCCTGTTTGGGGTATTCTAACTATTGACTATTCTTCTACTTCTTGGGCTTGCGGAGTAGCGGGGCCTCTTCTCTCTTGTTGGGGACTTAGGGCCATGGGCCCTCTTCTTGTGGTGGCATGAGTTGTCTATTTTACAGTTTACAACAGTACAACTCCGTATTGGTGAAGAACTGAAGTCTGCAGAGTGAAGAGTTTTGACTGAATAAAATATGTTTTGCATTTTTTTCTAAAAACATACCAGGGTCCAAGTGTCTACGCTCTCTAGTCTACACTCTACAGTCTGCACTCTACACTCAGTCAGTGTACACTGGACAGTCTCGCTAGAAATACACTGATACAGTCTCTATAGTCATATGTAGTGGCAGTCTACAGTTTTATCTTCGCTGACACTACAGTCTACACTTCACTCTACACTATACTCTAAAAAAAATAGTCATTAGTCTACACTCTACGCAGGTGGTACATGTTCTTTTTTCCTCTTCGTTTTTGACTTGTTTGTTGTTGTGCTTTTGCCCGGTTTTTTGAAAAACAATTTTGTAGTTGTTGAATATATATATTACCCAATAGAATATTGTTTTATAAATATCGCATAGTTTTCGATCAATAGTTATTGTGTATTTAGTTATTTTGGTCTCCGCAATAGAGCATTTTTATGCATCTATTCTCCTAACATTGAAAATTCACATCAAATGATCAAAATGAATTGTTGTTGTTTATTGGTACATATGCACAATACTACCAGAGTACCAGTCTAATACTATGTAGTGAAAAAAAGCCGACACACGTGCACCCCAAAATCCCACGTGCGAATGATGTGCTTTTATCGAACAGGCCATTAGCCATTTCTTTGACAATTGACACTCGCTTCCTCTATTCCTCAGTTCCCATTATTCTCTCTTTTGTCTTTTTTTGTTGAAAAATTATGTATACATTTATAATAAAATACAGCCTCAGCCTAAGCTCAGTGCGTTAAAAGTTGAAACTTTTATTGTGCCTCGAATAAATATTAAAGCTGCAACTTTTATATCTCGATAGAACCCTTTCATATATGATTGATGCATTTTCCAGGTCACTCAGATGACAGTCGTCACAACTGAAACGCTCAATCTCTTTTGATTGCCTATTATCAATTTCGTAGCCTAAAATTTTCAACGATAGGACAGCTTATTGAGTGCAGTTTCAAAAAAATATCTTTGGTTGATTTGTCCTAAATAGAAGATAACTTTAAAAAAAAAGTTAACATTAAAGTTGGAGCTTTTATTCCGTACCCCTAATAATCCCCTATAACTTATTGAGCTTAGGCCTCAGCCCTCAAGAAGACAGGAGCTATTGGACTATTTATTGCCGCATGTATTTATTGCGCGGGTGTGTTCTATTTTCAGAAGGCTTAGGGTATTGGATAGAAAAAAATAGTAAACTGTGATATGTATATAGTATTTATATTATACAAAGCAGTCAAATGTTATGTACAGTGGGACTGGGACCTCGCAAACTGTCCACTTTTAGTCGTCCACTTTGATAGATTTTGTTTTTAGCTGTGTTCTCTACAAAAGATTAAAAATTTCAATTGATATGAAAAAAGTATTTTACGCTCGATATGAATCAACGCTTTCTTGTTTCTATCATATACGTTATAGGCACACAGTGTAGGAACGTATAATTTTGGTTTCTTATCACAAAAGCACAGTTTTTAATTTGTTAATTTTTGAACAAAACCTTATATAAAAAGTAAAAAACCCACTGAAACAGAGATACTCTCAGAACAAACTCTCAGTCGCTCTACTCTCTCTCAGAGATAAATAGTAAATAGACTGATGACAGGCGACTGGCGGTGGCCGACAACTGACTCCGCCACTCTCAGGTCTCTAAAGTCACTTTCTTTCTTTCTTTTATTTAAAAACCAAAACAAATATACAATACACTTAATCTTCAATACTCGACCACATCGTACTTAGTGCTACTATTCACTGTTTTCGCTTTTTCGTTGTAGAGAGAAGAGACTCTAGGAGAGAGAGAGAATCTGAATGATATATTTATGTCGTGACGGGACGATCACGGGACCAGGGAAATCTTTTTTCCGTACAAATATAGGTAAATTAAAGTGCATTTATTCACATCTCATTGGTGCATTTGCTCTGTTGCACCTACTTGATCGGGAAACATTGGTTATGAGGAAGAGGAAATATTCTATAAATATGTAATTTTTGTGATTAAAACCCAAAAAAAATAATTTGTAGATAAACTGTATAAGGACAGTCACAATGCCCAAAGGTTGTGTATAAAAAACCAAATGCTTTTCAATACCCAAAGTTCGGATTACAACAGGTGTAATTATGTCCTATCCAGACTCCAGTTCTCCACTCTCGCTTTGGTGGAGGGCTAGTAGAGGGCTTGGGAGGCTGGGGCCTGGGGGCGTAGGCGGTTGAGGGCCCGGCGGGCGCTGACGGCTGGAGAGCTAGGCCCGCCAGTGGGGTCCTGGGGGGAGGTGATGTAATGTCACCAATTCTCCATTTTCCAACGGCTAACCTATATGGTCCAATAAAACACTTTCAAAGTCCAAGTCCACAGTCCAGAGTGACTAAGTGAGACATTTTCAGTTTTCTAGTCCATACTCCATTGTGCATATTCTAAACCACAACAAGTTACAACTCTGAGAGTCAAAGCAGACAATGAAAAAACCCAGAGGACTTGCGAGTTGGGACCCAAGTTGTTATTTTAGAGCATAGTTTTTACTCGATTCAGAGCAATCGCGTGCTTGATTATTAGTGAAAATACATGTAACTAGGAGGCTGGTACCTGGTGGTATGGTTTTAGTAGTCGAAAAGTTTGCTTTCAAACTGCGGTGGGTTTTTACTCTTCCAATGGCTAAATATGCCCTTTTTTTTAATGATATTTGCAGCTAGGTTTATCCTTCGAAATATGTGCTTTATATTTCTGTATTTAACTGTTAGTTCTCTGTAGTCAAACAGTACAGTTCAGCTGAAATGAAATAGAATTATCCTAACTTCAGATGTGCATAAAAGCTTGCTAAATGATTGTTTAGTCCATCACAACATTCAATTGAATAGTATCGATAGGTGAACGTACATCTAACAAAGATGGCAACATTAGACGAAAAAAAAGGCTATCAGGAGGATGACACAGGTACTTCCACCGCCGAGCTAGTACTAGACGATGATGACGAGGTTGAGTCTGAGTTTGATGAAAGCTACACGGCCAGCATTCGAGACATCAACCTTGCGGCATGGATGGTGTTCACGGTCGAACTAGGAGAGCGTCTCTCATTTTACTCTACCAAGAATGTTTACCTGACATTTACGCAAGAGATGCTGGGTATGTCATCTGCCAACTACAATTTGCTGATGAACTTCAACTCAGCCATGAACTACGGTGTATTCTTGTTGATGGGAGGATATCTCGCTGATTCTTATATGGGCAACTTCAAGGTCATTGCTTACCTTGCGCCAGTGTACTTGGTCGGAAAGGCCATCTTGTGGATGACAGCTATACCGGGATTGTCTTTCGATCACTATCCATATGAGCCAACGTGGGGAGAATGGGGCTTCTACATCTCCATTACTATTATGGGAGTGGGTGCGGGCTTCATCAAGCCTTGCATCTCCGTATTCGCCGCTGAACAGCTACGTGGCAAGGACGGATCTGATGCTCACCCCAAGTTGGTTGAATTAGTCTACCAGGCTTTCTATTTCTGTATTAATGTCGGTGCCTTTATTGGACAATTCATCTCACCGATTCTTGTCAGTGAGATTGAACAGTTGAAGATGACTTGCGGCACTGATGCGTACCTGAAAGCCGAATGTCAAGATCTGTGCTACGGAGGAGATTTCTGCCTTGGTACCGCCTACCCTCCCGTCGAGCTGCAAAGTGTATGCTGCTACGGAGGAAACAAGGGTACAGGTTACTGGATCGCATGGGGCTTTACTCTGTTCCTCTTCTGTGGTGCATTCGTTGTGTTCTACGTCGGAGCCTACAAACCTGGATACGTGAAGGTGCCGCCTCAGGGTTCGGCATTGACTCCCTTCTATCGCACAATGAAGGCTGCGAAAAGAAACAAGGTTGCACCGGAGGACTGCGATATGTCCGGACCTATTTCTTGGGCAAACCGCGCGAAGTCTGAACCAGGAATGGATTATCATGAGGTAGATAAGGTCCGTCTGGTGCTGCACGCGTGCAAACCGTTTGTCTTCTACCTGCTGTTCTGGTGGGCGAACTTGTCTCCTCAGGATTATATGGCATCAATGTGTCTTAAGGGATTCTACGAGGTGGGCTTCATCGATTGTAACCAAGTATCCAACGCCAATGCCCTTGCCATCCTAATTGGTCTACCGGCCTGCGTATTCCTGTTCTATCCTATGTTGCGTAAAATGGGTTTCTCACTCAAGCCTATGCACAAGGCCACATTCGGAATGTTCATAGTTGCAGTTCCTTGGATGTTCCTACTTGGTTTCTACTACTACATGATTTCAGTTGGTACCTTCACCGGCACGGACGTGACAAGTTGGGTGGATGACACTCCTGCGACTGATAGCAGAATGAACATTCTTTGGTTGGCTATTCCCTATGGTATGACTGGTTTGTCCGAGATCTTCCTGAACGTGCCTCTTATGGAGCTTGCATACAGTCAAACCCCTGTGGGTTACAAGGGTATCACCATGGCCATTACACTGATGTCCAACTTCTTTGGGTATGTGATTCCCGGTTTCATTGTGAACCCCTTCTTCACTGCTCAAAACCAAGTGATCTACTACTGGGTGACGCTCGTACTAATCATACTACAGATTGGCTGGATGATCTACTTCTCTATGCACTACGTTAACGGTCGCGATCTTTGCCCCGAGTTGTACGATGCTAAAATTGATGACGATGATGTTGAGATCACAAGTACCCATAAGGATAGTCTCAAACAATAGTTCATTGCTGGAATATGTTATTCTCATTCGAACACATAATCACTTTTGAAATATATCATGAATTAAATAGACGTAAATTCACATTTTATCATTGCATGTCCGACTCTTAAATATGCTATTCTCATTCGAAGATATAATCACTTGTTTAATATTTTACGAATGGAACAGACGTAAATTCACAATCCATCCGACTCTTATATTATAGTGTACTGTAAAGCTGATCTGATATTTTTGTGGATACACTGTCTTGACGTCTTCTACTAACTGCAGCATGTTATTGCGTGCTTTTCTTCTCGACCTGCGTGGATTATTTATAGTATACATTACTAGTGTGATTCGTCGTGTCATGTCACTGGATACCTCCTTAGTTCTTGCCGAAGTGGAGCGCTCGATCAAGCTACTGCCTGGCCTCTACGATACAGAAACAGTTGAATTAAAACGCCCATGATGGTACTTGCAGGGGGATTTTATATATATTGTAATGGCTTTTTGTACACGCACCGTGCGGATGCAAAGTGTGTATTCAATAAGTAGTCCCAGCACCCGCCTCAGGCATAAACCTCGAAACGATGCCGCGCATTTAGTGATTGCTATATATACAACAGGTGCCCTGCTACAAATCAAACAGTGAGTTGCCCTCGAAGATACTAACGCTGGGACCTTGATTCTCAAGCTACAGGTTGGTCGCCTTGATCATCTTCTGTGCGAGAGTCGTCACCTCAATACCTGGTGACGTCAATAAAAGACTATCCGTAATCCAATGCTAACCTTAAATCGAATGAGCCGGTACATTGGCTACAAATTATAAGGTCTACGAGTGCAGCATGATTGTATAGTGAGGTGGGAAACCTTCACAACACACATACACAGACATAACTAATGATATGCCTGTGCACATAAATACAATTTAATGAATAAGAAATAATACAAACAAGCCTAACAATTCATTCATACTAATACAAACAAATCGATACATGCATCTATACGAATGTACTAAATACAAACAACCCGAAGAATTCATTCATACCGATTCAAACAAACAGATACATGCTTCTATACGAATGGACTCATATATACAAGTACGTGCGCTATGATAAACTACAAAGCGTCTATATGCATTTGGGCATATACATGATATACACACAAGTACAAACACAGAGATTGTCATGGAGTTGAACGTACGTGCATGCACGAGTGAACGTGCCCTCTCAGGAACGTGACACGCATTGTTCTGTTTCAGCGTAGATTTGTATATCATAACTTTCTTCACTAGCCGTATTCCTGCCGGCATAAGCAGCCACCGCTCCAACGAAAGACTCTCTCAGACTTACCCTGTATATATATATATATATATATGTATACGTCACACTTTCTAACGAAAGACTCTCTCAGACTTACCCTGCAACTTGACGGGTGTGATGAAGTTAAACGCCTTGATTGCTATCTCCGCGAGCTTTGGCGTATTGGTATTGCCCAGCAAGCACGCTGGACGCATCAGGTTAGTGCTCTCAAAGTTGAGCTACAATCAAGTGTCAGGTGGATGAATGGATATAGACATTATTTATGCACACCCTTGTGATATGTACCATGATTAGCAAACCCATGTGGTATGTTAACATTTATTGTACCATGAGCAACAAACATAGCCTACGTGATCCTTGAGATATAAAACCCATAGCTGGCAATCCAATTTAGAACGACCTAACCGGTCTATTATTCATTAACCCACTGACACACACAGTATTTAGGAACACACAGACACTAACATATACAAGAACGTATGAATGAAGTACCTGTTTGATATTCTCTTCCACTTGGCCCTTGCAGTGGCGATAGTAGCCACCGCCAGCTATGGTTCCGGTCCATGCTGAGTACGTTGCATTTATATCGGGGCCGGTAGACCCTAAGAGGGTCAAGGCGCGAATACCTGCCGAGTGAATATGAAAGTAAACGTGCAATACTATTGGAATGATCTAAAGTATTCGGTATATATTCGGATATATACATGTGCGTGTACATACCCGTGCTGGATTGCATACTTATGCATATAGGTATATATACGGATATATACATGTCCGTGTACATGCCCAGTGCTGGACCGCATACCTATTCATATACTACGAATGTCTATTCAACGAGTACCTGGCACCCGGTCGCGCAGTCTTGGATGTATGTACGCCAGCGAGGCAAGTATATGTCAAGTAGCGAGAGTATGGCTTCATTGATAAAGACAGCATACCTAGTATATACCCTTCTCCAATTTAGTTCTTGCACATGTTGCACTGACCATTCACATACCCCTTACTCACCCACAATAACCCCTACATATATATAAATATACACATGAATATACATGCATATCCACCAACCATTAACTCTGGCCTCATTTGCCAGAGCGGACGGTATTGTGACATCTATCTCGTACAAATCCTCTTTTCTGATCTTACTCGGCGCCCCAGCGCCTATAACAATATACAGACAGGAGCCTTGACTGAAGGCACGTTTCAGTACGTCCTTATCAGGGTTCTTCAGGTGACAGGCTGTTCAACTTTAGGACTATCCGAGAATTCCTCCACGGGGCGTCAATGGAGTATGATAACCTTCACTGGTCAGTGAGATTCAAAGCAAGGTGGGGTTACCGAACTGCAGATCCCATGCGCTGAAGCCCACATCTGAAAGGAATACTCAAGGATACCGAAATATATGTATTGGATGATATGGGTTGACAAGAAGTCGATACGTACCTGGATCTTTCACGTGTTTATATACACAAAGATACCTTGAACACACTTGCCCGCTAATATGACTGTCAACTGTATAACTAAAAACCAATCATATATATAAACACTTGCTTCAAAGTAAATGGACAAAACGTATACACAAAAATACAGATTACGTAAAAAAAACATCACAACGACAGTTATATATATATATAAACATATTTGCAAATAAGTATTTATACTTAATGAATGAATATATGCAGAAATATATGAGCTATAAATGGAACAGTATAGGCAAACAAATATATATATATATATATATATATGTGTGTGTGTGTGTGTGTGTGTGTGTGTGTGTGTATGTGTGTAGTGTGTGTGTGTGTGTGTGTGTGTGTGTGTGTGTGTGTGTNTATATATATATATATAATAATAATACTAATAATTATCCTAATAATATATATAACAT